CTGTATTGATTTTTTGGTCCTTCTCCTTTGAACAGTACTTTAAAGTGTTCTTTCTTTATCATTCTCAAATCCTTTGTTCCTTGGAATTTCAGCGATAGCTTGTAGGCACCAACAATTAGAAGTGATTATACCCAATTTGAGCACAAAGGAGAAAGAAGAAAGAGAAAACTTCTAGAATTATGTTCGGAAAATATGGAGCAATAACATTTATTTAGAGATGAGTATCAGAAAAGATAACAAAATATTTGAAAGACCTTTCCTTCAATTCACATCAACATAAAGCAGTATATAGTATAAGAAAATCTGGCTTGGCATGGCTGGAAGCTAGCTAGTGGCTCATCAGCCGTTCTGAATGAGTTTCTTTGGCTTACCATTATTTAGATAGTACATCATCACTTTTTTGCCAAGTGACCCAAACCGAGGGATATTTCAAAGGAGCATGGCCTCAAATTGAATTTAATCGGTCAATAGTATTTGTTCGAATGAGTTAAACATTTAAAGCGCAATAGATGAAAATATTTAAGTGAAGCAGTTGTTTCAAACAGCCTTAAAGTAACCTTTTTTCACCAAAAAGCAGAGCAAAAATGAACCCCAACGAACTCAAAAATGCAGTAATAGTTTGGCAAAAAATGCAGCAGTCCTTAAGGCTCAATTTCTGCCTAAAGTACCGCATTTATCATAGCAATATTTTTGACAATATGGCTGACTTAAAAGTGCAGTGAAGTTTAGGTCAACACATAGCAACCATTGGCTCAAATTTGGCCAAAAGTATAGCAAATAGCTTAGTCTAAAATTCAACAGTAGTAAAAGAAAAAATACAACAACCCGGGGATCAAAAAATATTACAAAATGGAGCAGCAAAAGGCCAAAATACAACATTGATTCAACTTCAAAATGAGGTGTCAAACTGTAGCAACCAACCTCATCAAAGGCAATAATTAATTCTCATCAAAGGCATGAGGTAATGATAAACATGCCAAACAGAAGTTAAATAAGCAAAGTTATTTCATTTTTTGCCTCAACAGATTGTAGCAGAAAAATGGTCAAAGTGCTGAAATTGTTCATCCACGGTAGCAACTATTATCAACAACATCAAGCCACAAATTCGCCCAAAACACAACAACTATATTTTTCTTTTAAGTAAGGTATATGTCGAAATACACCTATATCAAATTAATTTACCTGATAATCTTCTCCTGCAGATATAAGTACGTTGAGAGAATTCGAAAAAGCAAGCCCAGTTATTCTTTTATGATGTCCTTTGAGCTTTGTCTTTACCTACACAAAGGGATCATACTCGATGTCAACGAATTTAAATAAATACTAAATTAGTAATATTTCAAAAATTACATAATGAAATAAATGTCTGAATAGCTCAACCTCGTTAACTTGAACATTATATATCTGGATGTAGGAGTCATCCATTCCTATGGCAATAACATTGTTATCTTGAAGATAAAATTCCAAAAAGGTTGTTGCGGGTGGGGCGGGCATAAATGTTGTCAATAGTCTGCATTTGCAACAGAAACAATATAGAGATTAGTGGAAAGCAAAATAATATATAACTTCATGCAACTAATTCCTGATTTATAAGTTCTTAGCTGAACTGTTAGCTAAAGCTAAGGAAATGTCAAATCCGAATAGTTGTAAAAGTGTCTATTAAGATCAACTAATATCATATGGTTAAAGCTATAATTTTTTCAGGTAAACTAACACAAAGTACATATTAATTTACTTTGTAAATCTGGAATGTTAAGGCAACGAAAGAGCTGGAATAACCAACATACTATCTTTGCTAGTTTATTTCCCTAGTTCCTTGACTATCAGGGCGAGATTGTTCCATTCATTCGAGAGCTCAAAAAGATGTTTTTTTCAGTAATCAAATTTCTTAAAAAGGAAGATATTTTCTATTATTGGAGAACATGAGAACAATCAAGATAATGTGAGAAGAAGCAAATCTAAGTCACATATATTTCAATCGTATCAATTCAAAAGTTACGGGAAAAAAATAATCTCAACTGTACATAGTTAAGAAGACTCGCCTTTTCTTCAACCCTGCGCTTGAATATTCGAATACAACTTTCATTTTCATTTCCTCCATAAGTAGCAGCTTTCTCAAATTCCTCCGGCAAATCTTGGCTATCCCTATCCAGATCACGAGACTCTTTAGGAAGAGTCAATTTGAGAGCTCCATCTAATAAGGACCACTTGAGATTGGTTAAAGGACCATTTGAGATTGGTTAACCCATGATTATTTAGATGAAAGAACAATACTTTTTAACTGTGGTTAGAATGAAAGTGTATAGCATTTATAATAAATCACGTATATTATGTCATGGGCAAGGTACAAATGAGAAACCAAAAAAGAATAGATAAAGAATTACATAGTCCATACAAATTGAGAGTGATATCCATCCATACCTTCTTCATTCTCTAGAGGTGTATCCATTTATTAGTTTGTCACTTTCTCATATGAAGAAGAACTCGAGGATTACAGTAAAGTTTGGTGCTTGAGAACTAAAAATAATGTTTCAACGTTATAGCCATTTGTAAGAACACTCTAAAATAACACAAAAGTACTTGGGAATTATATTACCCTCTAAGAATACTTCAAGTGTGTTTAACTAATGCACATAAGTTCGGTAGTGTCTTAGATATAGAAAATATTGTCAGAATTATTTTCGAGAAATGAAAAGTTCAGTTCTCACCTCCCAATTTTCACCATCCAGCAACTTCAGCAGTATAGAAATCATATATTAACATGACATGTATATAGAATGTCCAAAAGAAAATTATGTGTCAAAATAAACATTAGCAGAACATCCAGAGAACAAAAATTATCAATTGAGTATATGAAATTTTTTTCGTGAAAATGTTTCATGAAACTTTATGGCGTAAGTTGATTATGGTAACATGAACAACTTTGGTTGAAAATGTTGAGTGGAATAGAGAAGATATTCATGGAGCAGAGGGTTCCCAGGAATTAAGTGAATTCATTTGGCTAAAACATAAACAGTCGTACAAAATCGACATGAAAATGTCATGAATCTATAATAAGCAGAGAAGTGGAAGAAATGTACCTCATTTGACCACTTTTATCTAAAATTTATTCTACAATTTTAAATAGTCGAGCAGAAACAGTCAGACGACTCCAACAAAACTTGAATGAAATTTGTTAAAGCTAGCCAAAATGTCAAGCCACGGACAGTGAAAACTTGCTAAAGACATCAGATCTAGGGTTTGTGTAGTGGGCTTTGAATTAAATCTTCTTAGGTTTTGGGGGTTTAATGGGTGTTTCTGTTGCTAGTGTGATGGCCGAGTGAAGGAGAGATGCAGTGTTATTTTTTGGTGGAGAAGTGATAAACGTAGAGTACTGTTGAATGGAACACGTGTTAGCTATTAAAGGAGGACATAAATCATAAAATTTTTAAATCTCCAATTTGCCCCTATTTGTCCTAAGCTTATAGTACAATATATGTAGCTCTCCGTACAAGCTTTTGGTGCTTTGTTCGTCTCCCCAACTGCTAAGCTTATAGTACAATATATGTAGCTCTCCGTACAAGCTTTTGGTGCTTTGTTCGTCTCCCCAACTGTCACTTATTAATAAGGGTTAAGCTTATAGTACAATATATGTAGCTCTCCGTACAAGCTTTTGGTGCTTTGTTCGTCTCCCCAACTGTCACTTATTAATAAGGGTTAAGCTTATAGTACAATATATGTAGCTCTCCGTACAAGCTTTTGGTGCTTTGTTCGTCTCCCCAACTGTCACTTATTAATAAGGGTTAAGCTTATAGTACAATATATGTAGCTCTCCGTACAAGCTTTTGGTGCTTTGTTCGTCTCCCCAACTGTCACTTATTAATAAGGGTTAAGCTTATAGTACAATATATGTAGCTCTCCGTACAAGCTTTTGGTGCTTTGTTCGTCTCCCCAACTATCACTTATTAATAAGGGTAATAATATAATATATAGATTATTCAAATTAAGAAATTTATAGAAATATTTATTTAAGATAAATAAATAAGTTTTAGGAGTAAATTTCTAGGAAGAGTTATAATACGGATAGATTACCGTAAAAGTGTGACCTTTAAAAAATTAAAGTAACATGTTTTCTTAATTAAATACTGATTTAAAGTTATATCATGTTAAATTTAAAATTTATACTTTTTTGAAACTGATTTTAAATTTCTATCTCGTTTTATAAATTGTAATGTATTATAATTAATATTATTACAGATTACGAATAATTAATAATTAATTGATTGATACTAAAGATTAATTATTCCTTTGACATATGTCGCTTTTACCTCTCCTATTATATAGATATATAGAATATATAGATTTTTATTTTCAGATTTTAAATTAATTTCAATAATTCATAATTCTCCTTTTTTTGTGTGTACATATACATATGTTTTAATAAAGTGAAAGGAAAAAATAGTTTTTTAAAAAGAAGTAACCAAATATTGAGGAAAAAACTAACATATTGTTGAGATTGTTAGTTTTTACAAAATTAAATTCTAAATAAATTAAAAAGAAACAATATTTGATGTATATACGTGATTTAGTAGTTATTTTTTTAATTTGTTTTTTTATTGTTTTAAATTGTAACGACATATTCCCGTCGTTAGGAAAAAGCCAATGGGGAGAGAATTTGGGCCAGAAATTTTTTGAGTAGTAACTTGGGAATTCCTAGCCTAGTCTAGATTTGGACGAAATCTGAGTCAGGTGAGGTCTAGGGATATCTGGTAGTGAATGAGAGAGTTAATTATGAATTTGATCCATGAGTGGATAGCCACACGTTAGGGAGCCCGTACGACTTTACGGAATTGAATTCGGATGAGTAGAACTCTCGAAACTGACCTTAGCGTGAACGGATAGTTTTTGAACGTCAAAGGTTGAAAGTGTGCTGTGAAATGAGAGTTTGGAACTCAAATTCCGACTTTCTGTCTCCGTGCAAGCCGCCAGGACGGGATTAATCTCGCCAGGGCGGGGCCACAGTGGCGGGACAGTCGCAACTTAAATTGGGTAAAAACCCCAAAAACGTTATTTTCTGAAAACCTTCGTTCTTGAGATCTAAGAGACGACCCAGGGCAAGTTCTTAACAATTTTCCACAAGTTCTTAACAATTTTCCACAAGTTCTTAATGGTGGGAAAAGCATTTGGACATGGATAGATAGATTGATTATTATCCGAGTAAATTAGGCCTTGTTTATTGATCCTTGTGTTAATTGATTGTTTTTTTACCAAGAACAAGCGGAAAAAATCTGAAAAGGGAAGGCTCAAGTGTCTTAGGAGGATTCAAGATTGGTTTCGAGGTAGGTGATGGTTTGATTTCCTGTTTGTGTGATATATGCCTGTTAATTGCTTCATTGTATGCATGCATGTATGTGAATAGGGAAATGCGAATCAAATCCAATGAAAATGAGTATGTCTGAACGATTGCATGCCATGAACCTAACACTTGATTGTATGATTATGAGTAAGGTTCATTATGGGTGTGATTGTGATTGTGGTTGTACTGATTGGATCGGGTGTCACGTTCCCACACATATATTGGATAGGGCGTCACGTTCCCACACATATATTGGATCGGGTGTCACGTTCCGACAAACTAACAGTTTGGGTGTGGGTTCCATGAGAGGACCATTGTGATTATTACATTCATGTCTATTGTCGTTGATATTGGAAACTGTATGTTCTTGAAATGATAACCGATCTATGCATTCTGTATATGTGTGTTTACTGTGTTGTGATTGCTTGCCTATGTTTCGCTTACCGGAATAGCCGCGCGATCCTACCAGTACACTGTGGTTTGTGTACTGATACTTCACTTGCTCGTTCTTTGTTTAGTACATGGCATCTTCAGGCGGCTACTGATAGACCTCAGCTAGGAGATCAGTGATCGAGACCGGATTCAAGGGTGAATCAGTTCTTTCAGGCTGCCATGGGTCCTCTATTGTTTAGTCCATTCTTTTCGGACTCAAACTTTCTAATTAGATTTACTCGTATGTTTGGTTTTGGGTTTGTACTCATTCTCTTAGACTTGTTGGTTAGTAGTTTTGGTACAATAACTTTCAGTCCTAGGGGTTAACTTCCGCAATAGTTTGTTAGTTGTTTTGTTGAACTTTCAAAGTTTATGTGAACTCCGTATTTCTTTAGTCATTTATACATGATTCCGTATTTTTAAATGCATAGTTTTTGGTTTAGTTACTTAGTAGGGCTGTAGTAATGGTTCTTCCACCGGAGGGTTAGTGTGGGTGCCAATCACGATGATCTGGGTCGTGACATAAATAATTTATTATATTATTTAATATATTTTTTGTCATTATTTTTACTATATTTTTCTGTTTTAAATAATTAAATTTCTGTAAAAAAGTTAATCCTTTTTGAATCAGTTACCTATATTTTGGGAATCACTACTTTCCTTTCCTTAACTCAAAATTAAAAGTTAACGACATTTACATGAAGTTTAAAATAATCCCACTAATTTTAAAATAATTAACTGTCATCACACGTGTTTTTTTTTTTTTTTTTTGCAAATACAATTTTGTAATTTTTTTTTTTTTTAAATACTGTTTTTTTGTGGCGCTGATACGTAGGCGCTATCACCTCTCCTATTTTATATATATATATATATATATAGATTATTATTATTATTATTATTATTATGATTATGATTATTATTACTATTATTTTTATTTTATTTTATTTTTATTATTATTATTATCTCCACTTTCCTTAGTGATTTGTTTATCACCCTTTAATTGTTGAATAACAGTATCAGCACTATCGTATTTTTTATTATATTTTATGATTTTTCTAATCTCGATCGGCTAATAATGCCTACTAAGTACCCCATGCTTTGATACTCATGCTACACTTTTGCATCTTGTTCTTATGCAACTCCCGCAACTTCTAGATCGTAGTAAGATCTTGGCATCCGAAAATTCATTGCTATCCTTCTTTTGTATCTGTCTATATATTTTGTATTTTGATAGGCAGATTTGATGTATACAGCTTTCATATACTTAGACGCTTTTGTAACACTGGAGCCAGGTCCAAAGTTGGTTTTCCTTGTGTATTTCGTCTTCCTTGGTCACTTTTGGGTCGCTGCTATTTATTTTGTAACGTTATGTATATTTCTATACCACAACCCCCCTTGTATTTCTATTGCTTCAACGTAGTTTTGTTTCATTGTATTTATTGTTTCCCCTTTTAGGTTTTGGGTTCTAGCTTGCCTACTGTAGGATTTATGGTAGGTCTCATCATGATCCGATTTCGGGTCGTGTCCAAATGTTAATTATAATTTTTTTTGGTATTCTCATATGGTTAATCTATCTATTTTCTAAATAAATAATGAACCTTGGTTAAATCTCACTATATTTGAATAATTAAAAATTGCCTAAGTTAGTCACTTTTTTTTAAAACTTTTCTTTTAAATGAATTATTCTCTTAATTTAGTCGAATATGTATATAACTATATATAATAAGTGGGAATATCTACTACTTACCACATGACAAGTGTTGGATGGTTATGTGCTTGATAGTGTTGTACATTCTTCTTTTATGGTTGTACCTTTAAAATTTATATTATTGGACAATTTAACACCATTAATTACCCGCTACTTTATTAGCCCAAAAGTTTGACCTCATTGTCATATGAATTTGAACAAATTATATATTATTAAAAGTTACATAAAAGATGCTATAAATCACAATAATTAGCAATTAAAAATATTTTTAAATCATACAAGAAATTTGGTTGACTAATTGGAATAGAATAAGTAACATGTACTATTTGAAAATAACGTCAAAATTTCTAGAATTCACAATAAATTAACAACTGAAAATATTTATGATTATTCACGTGAATTGAAACATGAGTAACCTATATTATTCAAAACTAACGCAAAAATACTATAAATCACAACAATTTAATAACTTCAAATATATTCTTAAGAAAACATATAAAAAATCGATTGATCTTCAAATTCCATTTATATCACATAAATTAAAACAAAAAAAATTAATATTTATCACGGGCACCAAATATCTATATATATATATATGTCACAAATGGAAAAGTCCCAATCAAGGAAGCAACATATATCATTTACAAATGACTTAAAAAGCATTAAAAATTACAATAATTACCAATTTAAAATATTTAAAAGCTATATAATACGGATACTTGAAGTTGTCCTAAATTTTCAAAAAAGACACCTTAACTTTGCGTGCGTCTTATTACCCCCACAAAACATTCAAAATCACAATAAATACACATTTTTTACACAATATTTCCACTTTGGACAAAAATATCCTTCGAATGTGCAATTTCTTAAAAACAAAAAGT